GGTAACCGCGTCGGTATGTATCATCGGTAACCGTGCCGATATATGGATTAAATCTCGGGCCGCTGGCGCGTGGTAGTAGGAGGCGGCCGAAGGAGAACTACTTCTCCTCACAGCGCACGATATGGTGCTCCGTACTGTACGTCAAATAAATCAAATACTGAATAAATAACTTTCTGTAACAGCAACATTTGCAATAAGATTGTAATTTGTCTTGTTCCTCTCCGATATATTCAAAACTTTATATTATATATTTTTTATATATTATAATTTTAAATACACATTAAATAAAATGCAAAAACAAAAAAAAAGTTATTGATTGCAGGATTCGAATCCGCATGCCTCGAGTTACGATGCAAGCACCTAACTCACTGAGCCACTCGAAGCCGCTTGCAAATAGATTTAACGGAACTACTTTTCCGGTGCACCTAAGGAAGCCGTGTTTTTTCAAATTTAAAAACTTGAAAACTAAGGCCCATTGGAACAAACGGCCGAACACAGAACAACTTTTTTGACCTATAAAACCACCAAAAAAATCGGCATCGAATTTCACAATAACCACTTCTGGTGCTCCCCTTGTGAGAAAAGTGAAAAGCCGCTTTACATATAAGGGATGATTTCCCCTTTAAAATCGTTTTTCAGCAACTGAATATGTCAATATTCATCTATTGACCCCTTTTACATGTGTGCAAAGTTTTATCAAAATCAAAATTTTCGGGTTTGCGAGGTTTCCTTGTAAGTCAACTATTCAAAGTTCAACTTGTAAAATTTAGCTATTACAGATGAAGTGTGAGCTCGTACATTTTCAAAAATTATTGAAAGCGTCTACTTTGAATGAGTGACGATGAATTTTTATTAAGTATGATAATATGCAAAACTTTGATATTTCTTTTAAAAATAATTTTTCAATAATCCTTTCTGTTATACCGATCGAACAAGTGATTTGTATTTGACGGTGTTTTTTGTATTTATTGGATAGAAAAACGGCTCTATAGAATAAAAGAAAATAATGAAATTAATCTCGGACAATTTTTAATGGGTTACCTTTACTTCACCGACAATCATTTCATCAATAACACAGCCACACAAAAAAAATTGTTGGTTCTGACCTGGGGGTCTGACTATGCCTACTATATGTTTTTGGGGTCGCTGAATCCGAATCTGAGGTCTGTTTTGTCCCATCAGATCAGGATTTTTCCATAACCTCAAAAAACACACAAAATCACATATAAAAAAAATTTTTTCTGATTTTGGGTCTGATAATACCTACTATATGTTTTTGGGGTCGCTGAATCCGAATCTGAGGTCTATTTTGTCCTATCAGATCAGGATTTGTTCATAACCTTAAAAAAACTCATAAAATCACATACAAAAATTTTTGAAAAAAAAAAGAACTTGATACAGCTCCAAGAAAGAACATTGAAAACAGTGAAATATTATGCCTAACATGAACAGATTTAACCAACAGTCTTTTTAAGGGCTACATGATGTACAAAACCCGATCGTGCAACCTCCCCGCGGTGTACATCGGATAATGCTAATGCTGACGGTACAATGAATCATTAGACTAACATTAATTGAATAAGCCTAAGAATTCGAATATATTGAATGTTTATTTGTTAGAACAATATTTTCAGATTTGTTTTTTTTACTAAAACACGCTTCAAGTGTGCGATATTTCCACTATCGCACGTTCCAACGTACGATATCCCAAAATCGCACGCTGAAGCAGAATAATCAAACGGAGTGTGAAATCAGCTGTTTTCTACAATCAAAACTATTGCGCAAAGTGACATATTTCGGGCATGCGTGATGAAAAATATAAAAGGAATTATCAGACCCAAAATCAGAAAAAAATTTTTTATATGTGGTTTCATGAGTTTTTTTGAGGTTATAAACAAATCCTGATCTGATAGGACAAAACAGACCTCAGATTCGGATTCAGCGACCCCAAAAACATATAGTAGGTATAGTCAGACCCCCAGGTCAGAACCAAAAATTTTTTTTGTGTGGCTGTGTAATTGTTTCACCGACACCATTTCATCGACACCGCATTTCACCGACAATATTTACTTACCAACACGTTTAGATCACCGACAATGTTTTCATCGACATCGAGCTTTGCCGACAATGTTCATGATAACAAATGAACATATAAGATGAAGTATTATAGAAATTGACATTAATACTTTTATTTCATTACTTTTTCATTTTTTTTTAGAAAAAAAATCGGGAAACATATACAGAAATAAATTTTGTAAAGGCACTAGCACATAACTTGCAAATGTAATAATTCAGTTATTGATGTTTACACTATCAATTAAAGTTATATTGAGTTAATGTATCTAATGATTTATGTTATCCAATTTATTAATTATGTATTCATGAAGTAAGATGTCATATTGTAAGATGTTATAATTCTTGATATTAATCATTAATAAAAAACGCAATATTATTTTATGTCCTAATTTATGTACAATAATAAGATAGAAAAAGCAATGAAATAAAAGTATTAATGTCAATTTCTATAATAATTCATCTTATATGTTCATTTGTTATCATAAACATTGTCGGCGAAGCTCGATGTCGATGAAAACATTGTCGGTGAAATGATTGTCGGTGATCTAAACGTGTCGGTAAGTAAATATTGTCGGCGTAATGCGGTGTCAATAAAATGGTGTTGATGAAACGATTATTGATGAAATGATTGTCGGTGAAGTAAAGATAACCCATTTTTAATATATCAAAAACTTAACAACAATTTCTGAAGTTACAATCACCTTCACTTTTATTGTATTGGCATTTACAGTTTAAGAGTTATGCATGAAAACCAAATTAGTGTCCGAGATAGACATAACAGTCAAGATTGTAATGAGACTATTAGACTACGATTTAGAAGCCAAAAATGCACAAATACTGTCTAATACGTTTAAATCTAATATAACGTCTTTTTATATATGTATGTCCTTTTTTTTCTAACGACGTTCTATGGTTGATGTTACTTATATCGGTAACAGTAGTCACGATATATATAGTATGCTCCAGGATCCTTTTAACGACAACAGCAATGTGACTACTATTGCTATCAGTGCGTCGTTTTGTATCTTATCAATGATATATATATATATAGTATCGTATCATTGAAGAAAATTAAATATTTAATTAAAAGTATATCATCAATCTCTTTTATTGATTACTTGTGCTATTACTTACTATTACTATTACTATTACTTTTTATTTTGCGGTTTTATGTACTTTTTATATCTTATTTGTTATATTAGTTTTTATATTATATTTTATTTGTTTTCTTATAATATATACTTACATCATTTAAGAATATTTTCACAGCTTCTTCAGTACGTCCTGATACTGTCACAAGTCTCGGTAAATCATCAAACGGAAGTCCATTATTGATCTTTGTCTTTGGATTCGATTTTAATATAATATGGCAATTGGCGCCTCCAAAACCGAAAGAATTTATACCTGCATAACCACCTTCCCAAGGTGTCACATCGGTAATAACTTTGACTCTACCTTCTTCAAGAGCTTTTATGCCTTCTCGTGGTCGATTGTAATGTAAATTAGGTGGAATCTTTCCTATTTCCATTGCTATTATCATCTAAAATAGACATTGAATGTATTGTTATATAAAAAATGTATCAAATAAATAATAATCACATAAATATACAACGTTTGGTGTAATAACTCTTGTGCAGTTAAATCTTTAGTTTAATTTAATATACTATATATATTTAGATGTACAACTTATATATATATAATTCTTGGTCTTTTTAAAAATAAAGTATGTTGTTTATTTACAAAAAAAACAAATAATTTTTCTATCTTTGAAATAGTCTTCGTTACTTTCTACACACTTCTGTTATCTTTTGGGTAACTAGCAAAATCTGCTTCAGAAGAAGGATGATGGTTGTGAATTAAAAACCTTAGTGATGCTTTTGTCAACCTCCTCCAAGAAATTTGAAGTGGAAATCAATCAGGTAATGTTGCAAGGATCGAAAAAGATAGTAATTCGAAGGGGAGAGATTTGGAGAATACGCCACGTGAGAGAGAATTTCCCAGCCCATGTCGGAAATGACTTCTAAAGTTTTGTTGTTTTTGCCGTGTGCGGCCGCGCATTGTTGTGTAGTAAAATCACATTTCTTTTTCTAGCTCAGTAAAAGATCCTTTTTACTCAAGTGCATCGTTTAATCTAATCAGTTACCGCCGCTCAGAATTGACAGTTCTCCTGGATTTTAGCAACTCATAGTCGCCTTCAACTTTCTTCAGTTGTCCAGACGCTTTAAAATAATTATATGGTATAAAAAAAATTTACATTTAAATAAGTGCTGTAGTTGTTTGAATGTAAGAGTCGAGAATTAAATTGTATACAAAATACTTTAAGATAGTTCCACAAATATAGATATTTATTGCCTATAGAAATTTATTGCATTAAAATCATTGTGTGTGCTCCAAAATTGTTTCAGGTTTAATAATAATAAAAGTAATAATATCAACAATTAAAGCTTATTGAAGCTCGATAAGTCACTAAACTAAGAAATATAATTACGGTCATCCGAGCCGATCGCAGGATGTTGTGCGGAAAACTGCGTATATATATATATATGCATATATTTATTTGTTCGCGTGTAAATTTTTACACGCGAGTTTTTTGAATTAAATATCAATTCTTAAATTCATATTGGATGCTGGATTTGCATCACATATATGAGAGATCCCATCTATCCCCCTAACTAATTTTGAAAATATTGCGAAAAAATACTCCTCAGCCAGGAGTCGAACCTGGAATCTCCGACTTTCCGGGCCGTCGCCTTCCCTATTAGGCTACCGAGGCACTTGGAGCATGTCTCGCAATACTCTATACATCTATCGAAGAATAAACCGATAGTCCTAAACGCTTATTGAGACCAGCGTAAATTTTAACAATTAAAGCTTATTGAAGCTTGATAAGTTACTAAACTAAGAAATATAATTACGATCATCCGAGCCGATCGCAGGATGTTGTGCGGAAAACTGCGTATATATATATATACAGGGTGTCCCAGAATTGGTTTAACATCTCTCGTAGGCAGGTAGAAGAAATAAAACTGAGTCGAAAAGTCCTATACCATTTTGCTAGATTCGCAATAGTTACTGAGATTTTAATTAACAAAGATCCGCGAATAAGCATGCATCGGGCTGTCTTACGCGCGGAGGACAGCCCAGCGCGCTTCGCACAATTACATTTTAATATGTATATGTTATAGTATATGCTGTTATATTATAGCTCCTCCCATATGTCGCTATGGGTAACACGTTAGCTCGCGAAGCGCACTGGGCTGTCTTACGCGCGTAAGACAGCCCGATGCATGCTTATTCGCGGATCTTTGTTAATTAAAATCTCAGTAACTATTGCGAATCTAGCAAAATGGTATAGGACTTTTCTACTCAGTTTTATTCCTTCTACCTGCCTACGAGAGATGTTAAACCAATTCTGGGACATCCTGTATATATATATATATATGCATATATTTATTTGTTTGGTTTATTCTTCGATAGATGTATAGAGTATTGCGAGACATGCTCCAAGTGCCTCGATAGCCTAACAGGGAAGGCGACGGCCCGGAAAGCCGGAGATTCCAGGTTCAACTCCTGGCTAAGGAGTATTTTTTCGCAATATTTTCAAAATTAGTTAGGGGGATAGATGGGATCTCTCATATATGTGATGCAAATCCAGCATCCAATATGAATTTAAGAATTGATATTCAATTCAAAAAACTCGCGTGTAAAAATTTACACGCGAACAAATAAATATATGCATATATACAGGGTCCGCCACTTAAATCCGGACAAATTTGAATTTGACATTCCCATCATATTAGAATGCAGCAGTAGGTGCCATATGACCTAAAGATGGGTTAGAGACGTCGATAAGACATTAATAACCTTAAAATGGCCGAGTCGTTCAGGAAGACGCCGGAATATAATCGAAGAGCGGCGGTTATTGAAGGTGTCCGCGCCGGAAGAACGCCAAACGAAATTATTAAGTTCTTCGGATACCCCAGGTCGACGGTGTATGATATTGTCCAGAAATACGCGGCCTCGGAGGAGTCCGAGGAGGGTTCTTGTACTCCGGCGAGAAAAATACATGTAAGGGAGAAGGCGATACGGACTCCGGAACTCA